GATTGCATCATGCAATGACTGGACTTCTGGATGGGAAACAGGTTTCCCCAAACTCACATTGGCAGAATATTTCCCCCCATCTTTTTCTGTAGTATATGTGGCAGCAGCTGGTATTTCTGAGGTCCTTCTCACCCAAGGACTTTTTGCCACATCATGGGCTGTGGATAATGTTGGCACTTTAGTAGGTTTTTTTCCTTACTTCTTGTAGCAATCAGTTTAATTTTCTAGGTTTTTGAGGTATTTGGCATAGGTAACCATTGAAGTTTTATGTAAGTGTAACTGAGTGAAATGTAATGGTTGTGACAGAGAGGTGGCCATGGTTAATTATCTAGTATTTTTTCATATTAACCTCCACTCATGCACAGCATTCCAAAACACTGGTGTGTTTCAGTAAATTCACTTAATTCCAACGCAGAAGTGTTCACTTAATCCATCACTGATACTTTTATATGCTTACATACTGTCTGGAAGGTAACTTAAAATATTAGTCTTCTTTGCAACATAAACTCAAGAAATAAGTAGTGCTAGTCTCAATTACAAACACTGAGATATTTTTGCTTAGGACATGCCCAAACCTGACATTCTGCATCATAGCAATTATCATTATCAAATAATCACAATTGGAAGAATGAAGACTGCACTGCATCTAATGCATTTTTTTAAATTAGTGTGGTCTATTTCTTTTTTCCTCATGGTGTCACTATAGGATAAAGTTAATGCTTATCAGGTATTCTCTGTACTGGAGCATATTTCCATCTCCTTTCTTTCACTCTTTCTGGATTTCTATTATGTGTTTAGAAAATATGATAATAAATACACTGCCTTCAAATTTGGACATGTTCTCTCAAGCACTGGCCCATCCTTAACACTGAGCATGACTTTTTCTTTTTTTTTTCAATATTAGAACAAATTTAGCTTTGTGTATGGGTGTGGAGAATTTGAGCAGTTCTTCTAATGACTTGAAAGTAGAATTGCAACATTTAAGAAGACAAAAAGGGATGTATCTTACAGTTAAGTGAGCTTTTGAATTTAAATCTGTGATAGATTTTTCATCACACATAGAAACTATAAGGTCCTCACAGAATCACAGAATGGGTAAGGTTGGAAGGGTCCAACCTCCCTCCTCAAGCAGGGTCATCCTAGAGCATGTCGCACAGGGTTGTGTCCAAGCAGTTCTTGAGTATCTCCAGTAAGCTTCATTTTTTTCTTATGCTGTTGTAAAGTATTTTGAATTTGGCTTTTCTGATGGATAGAAAAATTAGTTTTCCTATCCAAACTCTCCGTGTCAAGAGAATATGGGAGAGAAAGAAAGAGAATTTTGTTTCTTTTACATACTGGTAGCATTTTTGGTTGCCTAGTTGTTACCACTTTACTCAGACCCACATTCTCAAATATATCTAGGTACCTGACTCCACAGGAGAAGGATGAAAGATGTGGCACTACATAAAAATTAAGTAGAACTGAAGAGAAATTTGCTTGTGCTCTTTATAAGAGCGGGAGCTAGATATAGGTGCCATTTCCCATTCATGCATTTTGAGCATAGCCTTCCTGAAAGGCAAGGACCATAGGCCATTTTCTGCCTCTTCAGTAGGACAGCAGTGTTTGGGCTGATTGCATTCAGGCTTGTAAGGAGGATGAGTGTGACTGTCTAGTCAGCAGGAAGGAAATCATCCACCAGTTCTACAAAATCTACATCCAGTGCGAACTCTGGCCACAAGTGAAGCTTGTGTATGTGTTTCAATTAGCTGAGCTTGTGGTCAGCCTCTGTCTAGCTCGGGTTATCAGCTCACAGGTGTGAAAGTTAACTAGAATCAGCATTTGATTAACTAGAATCAGCATGGACTTGATAGTGGTAGAGTCCATTTGTTAGCTTAGCAAAGAAGCTGTTTCACCTAATGAAGTTACAGAGGACTAAACAATTAAAGAGCTTTTCAGTAGAAGCCTGAGCATTATACCCCTATGCTTTCCAGTGAGCTGAAAATCCTGTCAATATTTCCAGCCAGTTAAGAGCCCTTTTTTCTCCCACTCTCTTTAGATGGTTTTTTAACATAACAGCTATCCCTCTTCTTATCTAAGTGCCCACATCTAAATATTTTCCCTAATCCCTTTGCCATGTCTTTCACTTACGTACTTGTCACTGCCACACAGTTCCTCCACAGAGTCAATTGTTTTTTGGGCTGGTAGTTTGGAGACAGTTAAGTTACTATTTCTAGATTGTTGTCTTGATGACATCTTAGACATTGTACTCCAGTGAAGTGTGAAGCAGGCCAGCTGAACAGACATGTTGAAAGAAATCTAGGGCAAAATTAGAGTTCTGCACGTGGCACAGACTGCCTGTTTTAACCTAGAATGGAAGGAATAAACTATTTCACAGTTGGAAGTGCAAGTTTATTAGTTGTCTAGCATGCTGCTTCTTTTTCAAAGGACAACCTGCCAATTGTCTTCCCAGTGGTTACCATTTTATGGCCATGCCAGTTTTTGATGCTGAGATGTTGGCTTTAAACTGCAAGGCATGTGTAACCTTCTTCTGCAGGAAAAGCAGCCTCTCACAAACTGAGGTACCAGAACTGGACATGCTGAGTGTTTCTTCTTGCCAGCTGTGAGTAGTGGCTCTTCTGGCTTTTAATAGACACCAGGCCAGTTTGGAGGAGTCACTCTGTCCAGTCTGAAATGCAACATCAACATCTTCTTTAGGAAACCCTCTAGCTCTGCAAACATAGTGTTTCCTCAGGAGTTTCTCCAACTTGAATCCTTCTCCCAGCAGCAGCTTTTTTGCCTTGCATACATAGTGGTACATCCCTCCTCCCACCTCAGCCCACACTATGATTTCAGAAATGCTTGTTAGGCCTTGGCCTTGATAAATAATAGCTGGGCTAAGCTCCCCTCGAGCTTATCAGAAACACTGTCTGCCCCCAGGAACTTATGTTGGCTAATGAGCTGCTGTTATTTAACGAACAGCCTTGGAAACTTATTTCTCCTGCCTGAATAACAATGCACGTGTAACAACATTTTTAGGATTGAATTTTCACAGAAAGTTACTGACCCGAATTGTGGCCAGGATGGAAAATTACTATACTCAAAGCCAACTCTCCTGTGACCCAATAAACAGCAGTCCTAAGTAAGACCCTTTGAGCTCTCCTGGACCACAGTGGGCTGCAACCAGAAATCTCCTTCTGAGTGAGACCCTTCTCAGACCCAGCAAACTCCCAAGTTTGCTATACTTGGAGGATCACAGCTAAAAGCCAGTGACGGAGCCTGGGCTGAGACCCCCACTCCTTGAGGCTCAACCCTTTGCCCTTTGAGAAGGTGCAAAGGCATCCGACCTGAGTACTTCACTGAACTCGAGGGGAATTTTTCACAGGTATTACATACCTTGTACATACTCCTTTAGGTCTCTGTGCATGCAAGTGTGAATACACTATAGCAAATGTACTATGAATGTTGCTCTCTTAGATTCTTAAGTAGGTTAGATTCATAAGTTAAGCCTGTGAGTTACTGTTGTGCTCATTGTAAATTTTACAAAGTATTTTCTTAAATTGTTTAAATTATGCTATCAATTAAGTGCTGTTATGTTTAAGAGCTGTTAAAACTTTTAGGCCTAAACCATTGGTTAAGTCTGAGGCTGAGTTTGGCAAGGGGGTCCACTCTGAACCTTGTGACTCATTCCTTTTTATCCTTACGCTTTTCCATCCTTACCTTTTCTCATCCCCAGCCTCCATGCAGATAATTTTAGACTGACTTTAGTATAGATTGACTGATTTTAGATTTCAGTCTGATTTTTCTCTGTATGCTTTAACCATCTAGTAAGCAGTAGAGTGCACTTCACCAGTGAACTTCATCATGCTTTCACATTTTTATTAAACTTGCTTTTGCTGATACCTTTGCCAGTGTTTCTTTGAGTGACCTAAAACACCCATTCACAACAGCATATTAGAGACCTCACTACCCAAATAATTCTCAAAATTCTTTGTCACCCACACCTCATTTTGATTTGAATTTGCTTATCTGCTCATGTCAAATCCAATCTACTTCTTTATCACCTCTCTTCTTTTGCCTGTTCTCCACCCTCCCACTGTAAGACAGTCTTTGCAATTGGTTTTACAGCATCCTAATACTCCAGTTTTTTCACATACCCTTGCTGAATCACTGTCCCATGCCAGAGGGGAGTCTGTGGACATCTCTCAAACTGGCTTACACTGTATCAGTTAGTGAGGGAAATATTTCCTTCTAAAGTCTCAGGTTTCTGCAAATACAGAAGTGCCTTACGTCTGTTAATTCTTATCTTTCCTTCTAGTTTCAGTTTTTCTGCTCTGGGGGCTTCTGTTCAGTGCCTTGCTGTGTCCCCAAACCTTCACACTTATTTCCTGCCCTACCAGTCTTTCATCTGTCTCATCCTTCATCAGTCTTGCTAGTCATCCTCAGTCTCTCTTGCCCCAATTATCTCTCTCAAACAAGTTCAGCTGCTTACTGTGCCACCTTACCTACTTGACATCTCTTTGATAAACATAGATCAAATTCTTCCCGCAAGGTGCCAGTTCTTCCTGTTGTTTCACACCTTTCCTTTGCATCTGCTTAGAGTTGTGCTGCAACTCCTGTCTCATCCTTTAATTTTAGGGGTCACTCAGCTGCATAAGAGGTGCTCCAGTTTTATACCCTGAAAACCTGGCCACTCTGTACTTTGTGTGCCTGAAGTGAACGTGTTTTAACATAACTCCCTGCAAGAGTCTTTACAGGGTGCAATTAAATATGGGAAGTCAGCAGTTGATTAGTGCATGGAAGAACCAGTTAATTAAGGACTTCAAAGTGTGAAGTATTCACCACGTGTAAACAAAATCTGTATTCCAAACCAAAACTGCCTCCACAGCAGTTTCTGGATTTGCTCAGTACAAGATCTAAAGCCCATGGAAATGGGAGGGGAGGACCTTGCACACATTTCAGTACCCTTTGCATCAGGCCACATACTTCCTCTAGCAATGATAAAATGATGCACAAAGCACTGGGACTGTACAACTTCATTTTATTTTGTGTGCTTTTATAGGATATAAATAAATGACAAAATTACAAAATTTATAACTGGAAGCCCAAGCATATTTACATAAGTCTTTGTTGCAGTGAGGCTACTATTTACTGTTCTCCTATACAATTTTCCTTTTGGTACCATATTTTTAGTGTTATTTTTTTTACTGTCAGTTGACTAAGTACATATCAACAGTGAATAGGCAAAAATATGTACAAGGAACTATTTTGTTCAAGTAAATTGAATACTGTATTAAAAGTATGTCATCACTCAGCGCTATGATTAGGTGTAACTAAACCATATACAATTATCAGGTTTAAACCAAGTTCAATTATCCATTTTTTGGAATATACCAACTGATGATTCTAACTGAAAAACCTCAGCTGGATATGAAATAATAATTAAAAAAACATTAAGACAACCACACAATTTTTCAATATCTCTATAATGAACTTCAAAATGATTCACAATTTGACTGGATAGAACAATATACGTTAAAATGTCATTTTTCTCCTATAATGATATTTGTACTGTTATAATTTCAGTTCTACATAAATATACATCATGGTATTATACAAATACTCCACAGACATTAAAAAAATTAAAACACTTCAAAGAAAAAGTAAGTAAATCTTATTTAATCAAATATTAAGCAAATGCTTAACTTTTGTTCCATGAAAACATTTTTATTACTTTGGAATTTTTTCTTTTTCTCAATATTTTTATTTAGAAAATGTTTTGCAATAGAATTTTATCAACACTCTTTCAAACAAGTTTTCTGTGACAGAAATCTTGATAGCAAAATCCATGGTTTTGACTTTTTTTTTAGAACCACTGAGATTATTTTTTAAAAATATTAGTAGAATTCATGGCTATAGCAATGTTGAACTGCATAAACTATATGTAGGTGTAGTAGAATGACCATTCCACTTTCATTCCAGACTGATTACACGGAACATCCAGTGCACTGATGCTACAAGTCTTACAATTTTCATAATGCTGCAATAGCAGTCGTTTACTTAACTTTAAAATAAACAATATTTCTCATAATTAATCTGGCTTCCTTCCATAAATATTCATATGTTTTCCTATAGTACTTCTCTTCCATAAAAATATCTAATAAATGTTTTCTGTGCATTATTAATACCTTTTTCTATCAATTCATAAAACTCTGATCCTTTGCTACAATGCAAGAGGTTCTTATTTCTGTAGAGGATCAAAGGACATCAATTTTTACATATAAAATCAGCGCACACAGAAATCAGGGTACCTAATTTCTTGTCACTTTAATGAGTTCCTTATTCAACACAGTAATTATTAATGAATTCAGTGGTTTCACAAATAATCTATTTATTAATTCTGGTTCTATTTCAATTAAAAACTGCCAGGATTCAAATAAAAAACCCAATCAAATACTCTACTCATAGGCAGCATTAGTATTAGTTTAGAGACCTTTTGTTTTTTTTTCTTTAAAAAGTAGAATCCTAAAATAAGAAATCAAAGAAAGCACTGTGGCAGAGTCACAAGGGAGAACTGCGTGAAAAATAAGGTTTCTCACTCCTCTTGTGGACTGTAATTTTAAAAGTCTTCATATAGTGTCATTCTTCTGTCAGTGCTGCAGGAAGAAGAACATCACCAGAAATGACTGTCAGCCTTTTTTGTTAGTTACAAGGCCACCATACAGTGCAGTCTTCCTCTCTGCTGGATTGAAACGTTGCCATAAAGGAAAGGCTGTGCTGTGACTGCTTGGCGTGCAAGGCACAACAAGGAACAGGGGGACAGTTTTGTATCAGAAAATTGTAGTTTCATACTTGGTATTAATGCCTCTTTTGGCCTCTTGTCCGGGTTCAACAATCCACGGTAGATTCGCAAGAGTCTTTTGTTCGGATGGATCTATCTGCTGTAAGACAAATGCAAACATACACACGGGTTACCATCTCTGTGCACAGCAGCTCCAGCAGAACTTTTTTCTTTAAACTAACAGAACACAGAACAAATCCTGAGTGGACAAAGTCCTACAGCAGCGAGTATGGTGGTGTCTACACTCCCATGTACTCACGGCTGCCTTCTTCTTCCTGTGGAGATCAGAGCTGTGTCTACCCCCAAGCTATAGGGCACCATAGTTCGTTAAAGCCACGCTCGATCCTGAGAAGTCTGTTTGCTAATGAGACAGACGATAGCATCAGGAAACGTTCCTACTTACAATTTTATGGAGGAAGATTCTGTGGCAATGGATGACAAAGTGTAAAGTCATACATTTTTTTTCCCCGTTCTCTCACCCAGTAATTAAATATCACAGTCCTCACTTTATAGCCAGTGAATATGATACAGTGTGCAGTCATTTTTCTCCTTTCCCTCCAAAATCACCCTATGCCTGTATTTTCACTTGATTTAAAATAGCTTTCATAATTTTTTAAAAAGTTCTACCATAAAAGAATATTTCTCTGTCATCTCTGCACTTCAGGAGGGCCCTTTAAAGACAATCAATATGTAGGCTCCAATGAGCAGTTGTTTGAAACAGCTGCCTGTGCTGCAGTGACACAACCCTGCCGGCTGATGAGCAGAGGTGACACAATGGAGCATTTCTGACTCAACAGGTATTTTATTTGTACAGCTTCTAGTATATAAACTCTTAACTGTATAGCTGAATTTTGGGGTTTTTTGCATGCATAACTACCTTCTACTTACCACTGACTTCCGAATACTAACACGTGGTTTGGGAATAGGTTTAGAGGGTTTGTTTTCAAAGCTTTCTGGGAGGGTTGAAGAATGGCCCCCTTTTCGTGCTTGTAGTGCAAGCTGATAGGCCACTTCAAATGCTTGTCCTAGGGTAAGAATGATTTCATAAGCTAAATTCTGGAACAAAACAGAAACAGTTAAAATTGGAGTGAGATTGTACTATTGTTGGATACGTGAAGTGGGGTAGTACTGCCTACAAGAAGTGATTTGCAATGTAAATAATTAAAGTCATACTGGTAATAGCTTCTTTAGTCTCTGTAATGTTTACATTTGTCATTTGATTTCTCATTGATTAAAAACAATCTAAATGTAATTTATTGTACTGAAAGTAATTACTTCTAAAACCCTTGAAACATTCTCATGGAAACAGGAGTGAAAAAAGAGTGTCATCTCTTTTCAGAACAAGTACATTAACTGCCCCAACTTCCCAGCTCACCCCATATCTGCTGCTGTCATGATCCCACCCCTCTTGCACTACTGCACCTATGTGACATTTGGCCTCGCTCTATTTTGGAACTCTTCTGTTGACCTGTCCTTCTCCAGAGCTGGCAGCCTGACGTGCTGCTTCCCTGGCTACATGCCTTGGGATGCTCACCAAGCAGCACGGGAGGAGGCTGCAGCACTGGTGTGATGCTTCCAAAAGGACAAAAAAGCCAGTGTTGAAAGTATATATTCTGCTTCACACATGCAGTACAGCTAGGCGTGCATGAAAGTCAGTGCACCACTCTGGATGTGTGCTTCAAGTGCTGGGGAAACCTCATGGTTTTGTTTTCTAGAAGTAAAATTGTCTGAGTTTAAACTGCCACGTAAGAACACTCTTGTAAGCAAGGGGAAGGGGGTTAGTGTGCATAACCAGAGAAGTCAGGCTCTTAAGCCTGACCAGTCTGGTGTTATAGGTAGAATATTTTAAATCCTCATTGAATATGGGGAAGAAAACCTGTTAAAAGATTTATAAAGCATGAATGAGGTATCAGAGGACTGGTATAAATATTTTTTTAGTACAGTTTTACATCAGTGAAAAAGCAGCTGTAAGTTTCAAATTTGACCTTTAATCTAAATGGCAAGTGAATTCCTATGGTAATTTTTCTTCAGGTTTGTGGGTTTGTTTTGGTATATTTATTTCTGGGCTCCTACTAGAGCCTATTTTTAGGCTCCTATTTGAGCCTGTTTCTGGGCTACTAACTTTGCAGTAATGTTTTGAACCTCTGCAGAGCAAATGCAAGCCTGCAGGCTTGCCTCCATATGAAGTCCTACAGTCCCCTTAAAATTATTCATAAATCTTTGACGTGATTAAGAAGTTACCCTCTCCTTCCCTCAACCTCCACAGCCCATAGTTGGAAGCAATTCTGCATTGCTTTGAAATTAGGTGATCCCTTAAAATTCCCACGTTTCTGATACAATTTTAAATGAGACATGTCTTTACCTAGTCAAGTTACATTTGCAATAAGTCAGAAAGCAAGGCAACACACTTGGAAGTACATAATTTGTCCTTCAATTGTTAAAACAAAGTTAAATGGATAAGCATTTTATTTCACACCCTACACTTTCATTTCCCTGAAGAAATTCAATCCCTTTTTTATCACATGTGTATACTGAGATAGTACAGGCTAAATTTGGCATATTTAGCTCATTATAAGAGCTTCTTATAAAAGTGCCAGCTCTGGCCTGTGTTAGGTCAGACAGAAAACAATTATACTCCTCCACTGGGACATGCTCTCAGCAGTTACAACTGCAGTTACAACAGCAAGCCAGCCAAAGTTTCAGAGCTTCCCAAATAAAAATGTCTGCCTGATTTGATAGCTGTAGTCTCCAAATTATCTCCCCTTTAACTTCAAGGGAAACTGGCCAGGACCGAGAAACACTGAGGATGCAGTTTGCCAGTGTTGTAATAAAAGGAAAACTAAAGAGGCTGTTATGAACTGCTCTGCCTTTTAGCAGAATGCTGGCTATAGAATTAAGAACAGCAGAGTATAACTGTTAAAAACGTAGAGAATAATATAATTTGAACTGGAGCGTGCTTTTTAGTAGGACAAGAATATTAATCTAAAGACATGTCTTTAGAATCAGCTGTTGTGACAGTAAAAGAGCATACTATATCATCCTGGGACTGTCTAGAGTGGGTAACATTATTACTAAGGAATACATCAGCAAGACAGGGTGTAGTAATGGCTTGCAGAAAATGCAGGCTGCAATACTAGTAGGATTGAGAAAATACACCATCCAGCGAGGCATACCAAAATGTCACCAAGACAGGCTTGAAAATCTCTAAGATAAGCATGGAGACAGCCTAAAGGTTTGCCATGCTGAGCCATAAATCTAGTCTGAGTCCTGCATCCTATCTGAAGCCACTATAATTTGTTTTCCTTTGTAGTCTGTAAAATGAAAAAATAGGCCTGCCTGGAGCCTGAAAGCCATAAGAAACATGTAACTGTTTCTCCGGTTAATAAATATTTGAAATATAGCAAATAGAACATTCACTATTCTGTTCAATATTCGAAATGCAAACTGAACCGTAACTGGTACATAAATTTCACACGTGTACTGTGGTAGAGCCTTGACAGAGGGAAGTCTGCAAATGGAGGCAAGGAGGGCTTTAACATTGTACCTTGTAAAATTTAAAGAACTTATCTGAAAAACTGTATTTTGAAAAAAAACATAGGTAAATAAGCTTGCTTTGAGGTATTTCTCACCAGTAGTACTGGGAGAGTATTATAAGGATTAGAGTTCGTACAGATTCTTGCAGGGGCTATACTGGAGAGGTAAGAGCAGGATTCCCGTGGGAATAGGGGTGGAAAACCAAACCACAAAATCCATTGTGGAAATCCTTCTGACGGAGTAAGGAAACTATTTGAACTTTTGACATGTGGCGCAAAAGGAAGGATACAGGTCTGCCTCCCTGAAAGACGCTTAGCACCAAAGCTGTAGAGCCCCTGGCCGCTGTAAAAGACGCTGGCCTTTACGGAACCCCATCAATGAGGCAAAACCTTTAGGACTGTGGTGCTTCCAAGGCTGCTACAATCCTGCTCCTTGCTCAGTACTGCAGAGAAGGAAAGTGAGTAAGCTAATGCCTTTAAGCAACAGTTTCTGGGAGATGAGAAATGAGGTCAATTGCCTTGTTTGCTTTGCAATGTTACAATTCAACACCCCAGTGCAAGTCTGAGTCAGGATTCTTCATCTGCTTTAATTCAGCCAACCTATTACAATGGCTAATTGTTTTCTTACATTTTAACTGACGTTTTGTTGTCTTCTATTCATAGGTGCATTGGGCAATGAAGAAATATCCAATGGAAATTACTCTGGATGTCTCCAATACGTGAGCCAGAATTTGGTAAGGGATGGTTTTGATGGTTTAGGATGTTATGATGGTTTGTTTCTCAAGAGGGAATCCTTCAGTGGTAGATTTAAGGCTACTTAGTAAGTGAATGAAAGTGGATTTCAAATATTGAGCAATAAATCCTCTTCCTCCAAACCTTGTCTCCTTCAATATTCTTTAGTCAAGATGTTTTTGCAATTTTGATTATAGAACTTTAACTCTGAGTAGACAAGTTACACGTACAGCTATTCTGAAATAGTATCAGTTATGCTGGTGGTTGACATTACTAAAATACTTCCCTATCTACAAAGAAATTGTTCTTGTCCACATTTCCCAAGAAACTGAAAGACTTGAGAGTGATTTTTTTCCCGTAACATTGCGTATATTGTATTGCCATAACATATATAACTTAAAATGCATATTTTTACACCTTATTGTGGAGTTCTACCATTTTAAACCTTATTTTTCTTGAAATGATTGAACTTCTATCCATTGACAAATGAGTAGGATTGCTTCTATTCGTAAACTGGGAGATCAGGCTCTAACATGAGCATTAGATTTTAAATAGAAAATTTAATTCACTGTATGCTTCTGCTCTGAATATCTAGCTATTTTTTATACAGCTTGTACTTGCATCAAAAATGCTAGATCTTGAGAAATAAAACAACACAAAAAGGGAATATTTGAGTAGGTAACACCCCACTGAGGATTATGTTGCAGGAGAAAACTAAGTTATGACAGTTTGACAATAAAGTTTCTGTATTGCTTAAAATAGCTGTTTAAAGTGCTTGGGGTATTAAATGCTCCTCCTTAGATACAGGAAGTGAGCAAAATGTAATTATTCCTGGATCACTTTTCTTCCCTTGCCAAGAAAGGAGATGAATTTTATCTGCTATATACCTGAGTCTATGTTTGTGCTTGATTATTAAACCTATAAATGAAACTGCAGTACTTCAAAACCATTAAGAAGTACTTAAATGGATGAGGAGAAATAATAACCTCACTCAATCAGTCTAATTTCAGCTGATTCACTTATCACTAAAATCTATATAATGGAACATCTTGTTGACCATCGTCTATCTATTTTTAACACAATTTTAAAGTTTTTTCTACTCTCTGTGGACAGTAAAATGCCCACAGAGAATTTAAACAACAGAATATCACTGAAATGCTAAAATTGCTTCTAACCTACCTGTACAACTTGTTATTTAAATTCTCCTACATGCTATTGCTATGCAATGTTAACTATTCCCTCAGTCCCAAATAAAATGCCACCGTTCAGGTCCCTCTATTTCTTAAACTTATTTATATTCATGTAATCATGTTTCAAGAATTCATACACATTATACTATAGTAAAATATTTTTTCTTGAATAATTTTGAAGTTTTAATAGCACCTTAAATTTCTCTTGTGCACAACTCAAAGGGCAAGTACTCCCGAAAATTTTGGACAATAAATCTTAGTCCTAAAAACTATAGCTACTACTTATTTCACCAAATTTAGCTGAAAACTGCATGACCGATTAATTGATGTGTTCATGATTTCTTGCAACAGTAATAATTTGTGCATCCCCATCTGAGAAGCATAAATATAGGAAGAACTGAGTAATTTTCCACCAAAATAACAGGAGTTCTAAGGACTTACACTGAAATAACGTTTTGAGATACGTAGGCAAGAAAATTGGAACAAGGGAATAAGAAATAAAGAATTAATTTGCTATTTTCAAAATAAAGAATATCTTTTTGAAAAGGTAAAGCTGCTGATAAAATAAAATTTCACCAAATTCCATACCTCCCTTAATTGTCAAGCTAAAACTCCCTCTGACATGACAGACAGCAGAGCAGAACAGAGGGATCGGCAAATAATAATGATTTCTGTTGTTACAGACATTTCAAATCTTTCAGATTCAGTGTAGTAGCCAAATATTCCTAGGACCTCCTAAGATATGTAATTAGCTACCTGTGTGGTCTCTGTCAGATCTGTGTTTTGGTTCTTTGGTTAAAATAAATACAAAACTTCTCATACATTTTCTACACATTTTCAGAAGAAGCTTCAGTTTTCCAGTTTATTCAGTATAATGCCAAAAAGTCTAAACAATATTTAGAGAGATGAGTTATTGGGACTGTCCAGCTTAACACTGAAACACTAAAAGTCATGGAACAGCAGGGTAAGAATCACAAAATAACAGAATGGTTTGGGTTGGAAAGGATCTTAAAGATCATCTAGTTCCAATCCCCTCCTGCCACAGGTAGGAACACTTTTGACTAAACTAAGTTCCTCAAAGCCCTGTCCAGCCTGACCTTGAACACTTCCCGGATGGGGCATCCACAACCACTCTGGGCAACCTGTTCCAGTGTCATACCACCTCATAGTGAAGAATTTCTTCCAATACCTAATCTAAACCTACCCTCTTCCAGTTTAAAAGAAAAAAAGAAATCTGAGGAAATCACTCCTGGTGGTAACATCTGACCTCTTCATCCAAAAAGCAGCCTCCATCTACTTCAAGAAGGTGCGATGTGTCCAGGCTCAGAGGGCCCCCTCAAGTAAGTTCCGACCCTCTAGCTGCTTGTTGGGGGGCATGGGATGGACACACAAGGGTGAAAACCCAGAAGGTTGGATGTCGTCAAATCTGTCCTTCCCTGACTGCCCAGGCAGTATAATGCAGTAAAACATGCAGGATGCCCTGCAAACATAGTTTGATCTAGTTCCTGAACCTACCTCTTGGCAGGATTGAGCACTGTATATAAGGCACATGGACCCTTTTCTGATTTGTTTTTTTGGTGTGCACTGAGATTTCAGAATAGGTGGCCAAACCTGCTTGCTACAAACTTCTTGGAAGGTTAGAGCATAAGAATTACACATCAAGACTTGTATGAAAAGCTACTCTCTAAGTTTACAGTCAACAGCTGAGGTGACAGAGATGACTTATTTAATATGGAAAATGAGATATCAAAGAAAATCTTGGCTCTTCTCCAGAAATGTCCTTTTGATATCCCATTAGTCTTTTCATGTGGTACATGAATTATACCTTCCATTAATCATCATATATCCTGAAAACATTTTAACAGAATTGAATAACTATTACTATTACAAAGAACTATTAAATGAAGTATGTTCTATAAACTGACCACATCAAATGCAGTGAATACATGGCAGTAGTGGTGATTAGTCTTCAAGTCTTTAGTGATGTACGCAAATGTAGAAAGGTCTTCGGGGTCTTGTGCAGCACAGGAAATGTTACGGATTTCATGTTCAGCAATGATATTCTGTTTAAAAAAAAATTTGCAATCAATTTAGGAATTAAATTTAAAAGAGCTGTAAAAGGTGTGGGTTTAGATTCACATTTATATTGATCTGCTGTACTGAGGTATTTCAGAAATATCTTAGTAAGAAGAGATTCAATATACCCCATGTGTGATCTTACATAGGTATTTGGAATTTTGATCCTCTTCAATTGCCAAAAATCTGGTAGGAAACCATTATGAACTAGAGTCTTGCATATGAAGCTACTTGTGCTTTGTACAGTTTATTCAGTATCCTTTGACAAAGAGACCTATTTCCTGGCATACAGCTATGAATACTGTTTCAAAGCACTATATGAGCATCTTATGAAGTTGCTGGTTTTTTGTGTAATGATCAAAATAGTACAGTTTCAGTCTACTGACAGACAGGATCTGGTGAAACCTAGCAGGCTCAATAGCCAGGTGTTTGCACATGGTGTTTGACAAATTTTAGCTATACCTTTTCAAGAGAAAAAAACACCAAACATGACTTATAACTGAAACCATGAGATATTAAAAGGCTTCTGATTACTAAAAAGATAACTACAGGAGGATCTGGCAATTTCTCTCCACTTACTGACAAGAGCATCCTGTAAGAGAGATATAGGAAAATGAAACCATTCATGCACCGAGCCACACTACTTGCAACAGCCAATGTAAGCTATAGCACACTACTGAGAGGTGGGGCATGTCTGTCTGATGAAATAAAAAAAAGCTGTCTTAAAGCTTTGAAGAAAATTATGAATATTCATTACAGAAATTGCTGATATGTAATTATTGTGTTCAGGCCAAAGGAACCATGAAGCCAGAGAAGAAGATACTGCAGAGTGGCTTATGATTAGGCCTTGCTTCAGCAACATACGCATTTAAAAGGGTTTATTCCAACAGAAGAATGATTAATTGAATAGGAATTTACTTAGCAGTTATGCTTTCTTGAACTGTGGCCCTGTTGGCTGTAGCTCTAACATTTCCACAAAAGTCCAAAGGGATCAAGCCTGCTGCAGCATGACATCGCAACTGCATCACAGAACATGTGACATCTGTGGTGTCCCAGTTCCTTGCACAGCCACCGCTTACCTTGGTGGCATCTGTCCATGTTAAAACAATCTCTGAACATCTCTGGTTTCCCTCACCCCTCTCTTTCCCTTACCACCTCCTTTCCTCTCCCTCTTTTATTAATTTTTTTTTTTATTATATGCAACTAAATCACTTTAGATGCTTTGCCATATCTTCTTTCATTTGCTAAGTGGCAACTTTCCCCCTTGCATGTAGGTGTCAAGTTATCGAAAAAATGTAGTAATATATCTAATTGAAGAAATCATAGCTTAGGAAAAATCTTAATAAAAAGCATTCCATATTTCAAATTATGGAAAAACCAAGATAAGGAAACTGTTACTGAAGAAATGAAATAATCCTCCTAAATTGTTGCAACGTACTTGATTATTTCTGTTTAATGCATTATTCATAAAAATGACAAAACCAGTACTTATGTTTCAATATATGCCAATTTATAATGACACATATAATCTCTGCTTAACAATCGCTTGCTTTTTATGTTCCTTGAAGCATTTTATTTTCTTTGTTTTCAAATTGATAACTTTTACCCTCACTAAAGATTTTGATGAGAATTAGAATTATACCAAAACCAGGGATTCAGATATCCACAGGTAGAGCTGTAATACACTGACACTGATGTGGTGTTGACAACACTGTAGTTTAGAAGGCAGAAAGAATTAAAGCTTGGAAGGTCATAAAATCATATGTGAAGTATTTATGCCAAATCATGACCCACAATGTAATCACCTGAATTTATGCAGCATATGAGAAAAGAGCTCTGCTATGCTGCAACTTTTCTAGGTGACCTGGGGTTGACACAGGGATTTGCACTTGAGTCAAAACTCACAGAGATTATTTTAATATTTGAATTTTAAACCAAGTGAATTTTAGAAATATACACATATCAAGTTTGTTTTAAATAAAGTATAACTAAACTGAATCTTCTGGGTGAAAATTAGTGGTGAAATTGAGTTTTTCCCTAGCTGCTATAGGACATCCTCTGTGATCTCCTTTCAAAATTAAACATTTTTCAATGCATGTGTTTACTGCTTCCTAGGGTCACTATTTCAGTAGACCCATAGTCTTGTTCTGTAGAAAGTAGGGGGCTGTGAACCAGCTCGCCGTTCTGGGTATGCTCCTCAGGCATTGACTGACACTGCACAGTTGTCATTCTAAAATTGTCTCTCAATTTGGCAAGAGAAACCTCTGGTTTCTCAAAAAGCAGGGAAGCTGAAAGTCAGTTCTGGTTCTGCCAAGGAAATACCTTGGAGAGACCAGGTTTTTGCTAAGCAACCTTCCTTTTGCTTGCCTACCTCATGCCAGCCAATCTCCCTCCTGGCAGAAATCGCCCAGAAGACAGAGTGAGCTGTGAGCCACCAGAAAATTCTGCAAGTCTGCTTTTTCCTAAGCAGCAATTTCTTTCTGGCCTCACTTGCAAAGAAATGGTGTCATGTCAAAGTGGTGTCATGCCAAGCTTCAAGGCGCCACTGAAATAGCTGTCGAGGAATGAGGTCAGGGCCCCTTCATCACCTGAAACTTTGCCTGCTATGACTTGGAATACAAATTCTTAGCTTGGTGGTATAAAGGAAAAAGATGAACAGCCATGAGAGCTGAGTTTTCAAGCACAGAACTGCTAGCTATTTTTGTAATTAAAAAGTATGCATTTATTGCTAAGTGGTGCCCAGCGCCGTCAACTATAAGCTCATATGGAAGCAGTACAAGTCTGAATAGGATCTCACCTTAGTGCTAATCTGTTTTGGGTCTTGAAGGAATTGGGAACAGCACACTGTGGACAAGGATGATAACGCTTCTGGGAGAGTTGCAGGCTATTACCTGGTTTTTACAGAAGGGAAAGGCAGTGCAGATTTTGAACTGGAGAGAAAGCAATCTACCGCTTGAGAAAAAACACAGGACTGTGGCATTATTTACCTCCATCAAAAACATCCGTTGCACCACTAGGCATAAGGTTTCAGTGGGACTCGTGCAGAGTCATCTAACGCAATTTGCCAAACTTCTTTCAAGTTTCCATCTTACGTAAGATTCTATGCACTGTACAAAGAGACACGGGAAGCTCCTTTTGTTCTCCTGATTTTTTTTGGTAAACCTAAGGACATTGCAGTTACATCCTTTATGCTACGGAAGAGATTTAAGAGCTGAAAACAGCATTATCCAAGTTAGAGTTAATAGCATTACAATGTCCTGATTTATGCCCTGCACATCAGAGAACATAAAGGAAATGAGGGTTGTAGAAGCTCAGTTCTGAATCAGTGGAAGAAAAAGGAGCTGACAGGAATCCCTGGCCTCTCTGCTCTGGCAAACGCCAGACCTGACATAATAGTAATTTCACCTCACTTTTTCTTTTATGCTGTCTTCTAACTCTAAATATGGTTTCCAAACTCTAGCAGAAGTTCACAAATCTGCTTCCATCCTTCACTTAAAACCCAGTTCTAGTTAAACAGCTTTAAAAACCTGATTCATTTGGCAAGTTTGATGGATACTGGGTTAGATGTACTGTGTGGTCTGAATGTTCAGCAACACAAAGCCACTCTATACATTATTAACCTAGTCAGGTAGTTGGGTTGTCAGATTTATTTTTTATATTGCTCAGTGAATTTTAGTCACATAACAGAAAAGATAATTTATTTTCTGTTCATATGAAAGCATCAGTATGGATTGCATTTTTTTGCCACTTTAAGCATCCAAAGAAGAGAAGTTCATACATTACTTTACTTCTCCTTACAGAGCCTGTACATTTTACTTTGGCTAAGCATTAATCCATTGCTCTATCCGTCACTGAGTTCTCTGATCTCTCAATTTCTGTTTTTGTGTTTTTGGTTAGTTAGTTTTTTTTTTTGTTTTAAGATTTTGGATGTATTTTAAAACATAAGAAACAAAGCACAGGAGCATTGCCACGCAGGAAGATGAAAAAAATATGGAATAACAACTGCTAAGAAACTGTTGCAGTTCAGGGAGTTAAGTGGCTAGTGCCAGGAAAACAGCTCACAGAGAACCTCTAGCATTTTTCAAAGGACATTTAAGTCTCGTGTTTCTTATTCTTAAAATGGCTGGCCCTGGATAAAACCATGTATCTTTATTTCAGTGAGACTTTTTTTAATTATTTACACCAATTTATATTAATGAACAAATAAATAAATAAATATAAAGGATTCCACAGAGGCTCCCTGCCAAATGTCTTTTGTGATAAGCTTGCCTTTTAATGGAAGAACACTGGACACAATGTTCTCCAAATAAGCCATTAAAACTGCTTCACTTGTCCTCCAGACTGAGTTTCTGAAGAATGGCAATGACATTACATCCATTTTGGAGAGAAGAGGTGAAAAAAAGGAGAGGAAAATGCAAAGTGCAAATCTGTCCCCTTTCTGGCCTGGACCTCATAGGTATTACTATTTTTCCTAGTTGTGAGAAATAAAAGCTAGTATTGAATAATTGCACATACCTTATTTGTGGCATCAATAAATTTGACTCCTTTGTAAGAAACAGACAGGACAATGGTTGGTACTTTTTTCATTTGTTCTGTAGACTTCTGAAATCAAAATGAAGATGTTATTAGAGTTGTGTTGCATTACAAGAACAGTGCTCTTTTCTTCTGATAAAATACCTAAGTTAAACAAATATTTTACTATTTCTTCAGCTGACTACGCTCTGGGCTTTTGAGATATCTGCCTTGCAGTTACAAAACTAATAAAAGTTCTCCTTTTTCCTAACACAATGAGAAGAGAATAAAGTAACTTTGCCAGGCTTAGAAAGAGCAGTCATGCAACCAGCATTTCTCAAAACGTGTGTGGTTAAGACATCTACCTGACATGCCCCATCCATCGCTCCCTCCCCTCCTCCTGCCCTTCCCAGCTGTAAAAACCAACAGCGCGGTACCTCTCATAGTACCCTTTCTTTCCTGTAATTAGTTGTTATTTAGAAATATTTCACTCTTTTGCCTTCTTGTGGTTGTATTTGTGACATGAACTATCCCTGCAACCCTCTAGGCCTGCCAGTCAATCCGTCAGCCCAACGTTGTATCTTGTCACGTCTGACCGTCTGCACTGGAAGCTGCTTTACACATGAATTACCATGGAGGGTTATTCTGCATTCCCTCAGTGCCAGGTTCTCCTACCTACAGTTCATGCCTTCCTATAAGATTGTTTTTTCTTTTATGCTAGTCTACTTCTGTGTGCCTTCAATATGATGCACATAGCAAAGATATTTCCTGCTGAACAGATTGGGCAAATATCTGCATCAGATTTAAGTTCTCTGAAGAAAAAAATGTTGTTTACAGATTAAATTTACTAACACAACCCCAAAACCAACCAAAGAAAAAACTAAATATGGCATAATAGTCTATAGCTGATTTGAATTCTTTTAAGGTTGAAGACAACGATGGACTATTCTATACAGAACTATTGTAGATAAATAAGTTAGATAACATTGAGAGAATGCTTATTCATGGGAGCATCTGCAAACAATCACAGAGATCAATCAAATATTTTCTTGAGAGGAAAGAGTAAGTTCAGTTACAGGTAAACATGAAGAAGCATCAGCACACAGAAGGAAAGTGTAAACATGCTGAAAGATCTAGAATTGGCACCTAGGAAGATCATTAGAGCTGCTAAACAAAAGTAGCAGTGGTGGGTTTGTATTATCCAAGACAAATAAACAAGTATAGTTATAAGCTTGAAAACACAGACTGTAACTGAAGAAAATATGTTTTAAAAAAATAGGTGATGCTAACACTAGAGAGCAAAACAAAAGCTTCAAACAAACAAAAAAAACCCCAACAAAACCAACCAAAATCCTGTAATCAAGTCTCCTTATCAGCTCTTAATCCTTACAGAATCAAATGAGACTCCATTTTTGCCAGCATAAAATTCAAAGCTACAGATCCAGCTACATTCTGCAATTAGTGTCCATTCCACGAAGACTAAAACCTCTAATTAAGGTTTCAAGGACAGCTCTGCCCATCCGTGTAATAGAGAAGATTGTTGCATCTCTCCATATCAAATGACGAGAGACTTGAGACAACAATCAAGTGTCAGTTTATCCCAGAGAAAGCTCCTTTCACCCAGAATTCTAGGTACTTCTAAAAAATGACAGCTTAAATGGTAAAACAACCTGAAGAATTTTAACAAAATCTGAAGAAAGACATTAATCTGATTTGCATGTCTCTGAACTGAGTGGAGAAAGAAATGGCATCCCTGCCAAAAGCAGAGCAAGTACCTACCTGTGCATATGTGTGTGTGTCACTGTAATAGATCTCAAATAAACCTTTTCATAAAATTCACCTACAATGCACAGAAAGCATGCGAGTGCCTGTACAGGAGCTGCAGTGTATACATCTATCAGCAATAAACCCTGCACACGCTTATACTAGACAAAATAGTCACAAATATGACAATATCACTTTAATCATCTGGCAACCCACCAATCATCCAACTTTTGTCCTTTTGTTCTAGCCCGACAGCTACATGCCAGCTTTTTGTCTCCCATTTTGACTATTGTAATTACGTCCTTCCTTGCCTCCTTAGCAGCAAAATTCCCCTTCTCCATCAACGTGCTGTACAAACATGGCTACTAAGTTCACATATTTTAGCTTTTTGGTCTAATTCTCCCTGTTTGGCATTTGTCATAAAGGTGAAGCTTCCTGTTGGCAAGGCCATGCTGTACCAACTATCTGGGTGTCCTCTTTCCTCTAGACAGTAGTTTGTAATTTAATCATCTTCCTTATCTGCTCCACATCCACCTGGATTTGTCTAGACCAGACCTGACCTCTAGTATTTAATTGAGGTTGTGAACTGCCAGAAGACTGTATCTCAGTGAAACAGCTCATCAAGAGCTATTCAATTACAGCTGGCAAATTAGGAAATGAATCAGACTGATGGACATTCGTAATTTATTAGGCCAAACTGTCTCAGTTGGTAAGGAGCAGGGGATATTCCTCATCACCTTGTAAAGCATAAAACCCCCAGGACTTGTGTAAAGGTGTTCTGTATGACTGTAGTCCAGTGTAGAATTATGATTTTGGGAAACAACTCTGCACTGGTACTCCCACTGCAACAAAGAGTTGGGCAGTGGAATAACATCCTTTGTTATTATGACAGTGCCATCAAGAAAAACACACAGCTCTATTCCCCTGCTCAACTCTCAGTGATACAGTAACTAAAGTCCACCACATAATTATTATTTCCAAGCAGTTTCCAGGCTTCAACAGTTTCGAGTTGTCATGGTGAGCTCATACTATTTGCTTGCTGTTCCTTTCTTTTTAATGGAGCAGGTGTCTGCCAGAATGTGTAACGTTAGTTTTCAGAGATACAGTATGAATACCATTCACTCAGGCACTGTAAGTGCTTTGGCTCTGAATTCTAGAATGAAGTCCTACAGCTTTCTTGGTCAGACATTTCACATCTCTGTGAAGGCCAAGTGGGAATCTCTGCCTGTGCCCAGAACCTGAGAAGAAGGTGGGACACAGGAGTCAGTATTCTCTTTCCTTGGGCTTTTCAGGTTCTAGCCACCGTATCAACTCCACAAGGACACAATGAGATGACAAAATATTCTTGTCCATCTGGTGTCTCTATGGGAAGCAGATGGACTTGAGCCAAAGTTATAGGAGTCACAGCTGAGGGCTGGCATTGCATGTCATGTGCATGCTGACATATGGTCTAATGCTCCAAGGCATGTTCATACCAGAGAAGTAGGATTATATTTCATCTCATATAGAAGCAATCATAGTGACTGTCTTTGGGCAAGTGCTCACTAGCCTGGAACTGGTCATAGTTCCTATGAACTCCATTGTTTGTGACTGCAACTTTGGCTCTTTGTTTCAATACACTTCTTCAGGGGAATCACCTGGATGAACAGCAAGTCTATTCTAGGCTCCTTGCCAGTGCCTGTCACTGATCAGCTGGTCATCTACCTAAAGACAGATGTGCATGCCCTGTCTCCACAGGTGCACTGTTCCTGCAGCCAGAAGTCTCAATGCTGCACAGTCTGCAATGCCAGAGAGACTGAGCTTTGGTCCCACCTCTGAAATACTTCATGCTGTACAGGTAGGTGACTACATGAAAGCAGGTCATGTATAATTCAAGAACCATAAAGCAGGCTTGTCTGCAGACAGAGGAAGACAGAAGAAAGCATCACCATCCTAAATCTAATGTGATATATGTGCAGCTTCCCCAGACCTCCCCCAAAAGACATAGAGCCTCTTCCTCTATATCAGGAACAGCGGTCTCATCTGGATTTTGGTGCAGCTGCTGCAATGAAGCTGCTTCATCCCCTCAGCACCCACAGTGGAGATGAGTCCAGTGGAAGGAGGTGGAAGGCACCATCTGCATAACTGCCTGGTTAGTACAGTGATTGCTTGTACAAAAAAGGTCTGAATTTATGACTCAGAGTTTGCATCTGAACACTCTGCAGCCATTATATAGGACAGTGCCAAAAGCCTGCATAGGCTTGGACAGGGCTGCTCCCAATTCCTCCTTTTGAATGGGTCATAAGGGGATGCAAGAGCAGTGGTGCCAGAGAGGAAGCGAGTCAGTGCAAGCTTGCTTTTCATAACTTATGAATTTTCTTTAGCTTCACAGAAAAAAATACCATTCTCACATCCAGCCTCTAAACACATTTCCATAGTATAGTAGTACTACAAATTGTCTTAAGTGGGTAAAGCATTTCCATCTGTATATTGATTTTGCATTAAAGGCTGTGCAGAACTGCTAGACATTTATTTTGAATATAAACTAATCCAAATAATTTGAGATCCACCCTGCCAGTGTGCCTAACAAATCAAGGTAATTAACAATGGCTTAAGAGGCAGAGGAATTCGTTCTTTGAATAAAGTAATATAAACTAGCAGTTTATTTTTAAAAAGCAAATACAAAACCTCTAACTCTGAAGGGCTTTTAACCTTTTCAGGACAGGATTGTACCACAATACCTTGTTCTGTGCAGAACTGAGAGTACTAATGCAACACCTTTGAATATTCCTGCAGTGTACAAAACATGGTACCTCTGAGCACACATACACAAAGCAGCTGAATAAGAAATTCAGAAACACACACAGAATGGTGTGTAAGATGCTCACAAATTCACTTGATAAAGCATAGCATATGCTGTAATGCAGCCCATTCTGAAAATGCTTTCATCTCATTTATTTATTACCTGCCAAGAGGACATGGGATACATTGGTACTTCTACTTTGCCATGTTGACCACTTCAATGTATTTATACACACATTTATAACTGGATTATTCAGATTTCATACAGCGGTTAAAATGAAATCATGTTCTTTTTTGGGTTTTACTGCGTATGTAATTATACTTGATCTTGCAAATACACAGTAAAAAAACATTATTCAACTATGACAAGTCACTAACAACCCCATACATAGGTAAATTTTGAGTACAAGTTTATGAGCCTGTAAAATCTTAAATTTTCATCTTGGCTTTCTACTTTTGCAAATGAATCTGCTAGTTCAGTCCTACACTGGTTTTTAATAGCTATATGAACATTGTAGCTGGCAATTTTCCTATTCAATTATGCACTGGAAACCAATTCACTAAAAGATTCTGAACTTTTTCCTAAACCGGTAGGAACTATTAGTCCAAATGGCATCAGACTGCACATTTCAAAATATGTATTAGTGCCACCTACTATCATACCTGCATAAATAAGTCTGCTACTTATTTAAGGCTTATGAAGCCCCCAAACTGTCACAATATTCAAGGTGAGGCCGCACCAGTGCAGAGCACAGTGAGACAATCACCTCCTTCGACTAGCTGTGGAAGAGGAACTTGAATGAATTGCTTTGACAAGATCATGCATGAGATTAAATGGAAATAAAAATCAAAGTCCACAATTGAACAGTTAGTTTTGAAGCCAATTTTGAAACTAAAGTCTGCCTTGTAACAAATATTTAGTAACTTCTCTCAGTCCAAAAGGCTTAAAAATGCATTACTGACATAATTTAACACCTCTTGGAATAAGACTGCATCTGTAATCCTTGTGGTATAAGACTGTTTACCTCTCTACAATTAGTGGATGCCTCCAAGCTACATCATTAATATGAACACTGCACTGGGGGCGCACCTGGAACTCATGTACTTGAGAGTGAGATGGTTTTTTGCTTTTGCAGTATCTCTAAACACTCCTCTGCATCCTTCCTGCACTTTAGATTCCTTTCAGCCACAGAGTTCAAGGACATAAAATCCTCTGAAGAACATGGTGCAGCATGATGTGGATGTGCATAGGGACTGAAGACCTTCCACCACTTATTTTTTCCTTTTGATTAATATCCATGTGCCTTTTCTACTGCAGGCCCTCCCAAAGCAGTGGCCACACGAGAGAGAGAGAGAGTTACAAGTCCCAAGAGACCAGAGACTGAAGAATCTGAATTGTCAAATACAGTGTTTGATACCAACATTTATTTGCCTGGTTAGTTTCACTAGGAGGCCTATGGAGGCTTCTACACTTCTATTTTGGGGGTGAGGGAATGAAATGGAGATTGAAAAGTAGAAAGGGTTTGGTAGAAACAAGGAGACTGCCATCTAAATTCACGTCCTTCTTCTTTATGTAAGAAGAAATGAAATGAGGAAGAAATGCCCCAGATGCTGCCTACTTTCAGCGAGTCAACTCTGCTTCATCTTCCTCTCCCAGAGCAAAAGAGAAGCAGATTTTGTAACAATTCCAACTTTGACATTTTGGTCTTAAGTCAGCGAGACATTTAAATACCTGCTTTGTGAACAGAACTATATTGATGGTTCCTCAGAACTTTGACTTGAATTTTAGAGCCTCTTTTCTAACAACAAAATAAATAAGAAAGATACATAATATTCCAAGAACAAAATTTAAGTTCCCTTCTGCTGCAGTAAATATCTGATAGGTTCAGAGTGTGCAGTTGGTGTATGCAACATCAGTGATTTAACACTGCTGCAAGGAAAGAGTCATCCTTGGTGCTGTGCTCATGGCAGTAAGTATAAAACCATCCCCTTCCTACCTGGTCAAGGAATTCAGATGTGTAAATGCCAGATGGAGTCTTCTGTAGAGAACAAGTTCCTTCCTAGCTCAAATTTACCTTTATTCCTTGTCTTTATTTTGATGCAAACACATTGTATTCTCCCTTCATTTTCCTATGATGATTTAAAGTGAAGGCATCAATCTGATTGAAAACGCAATTTACAGTATTTCCTATTCCACACTGGGAAAGATGAAAGCTCTTAACTTCTTGAAGGCATCTCTCAAATATAATTAATAAACCTATTCTGGCCAGGACAGCAAGATTTAATCTCCAAGTACCAAAGGTCAGTTTAGAGCAGGTGAAGAATGGAGATAAGGAGACAGGACTGTCGACTGCAAAGGCAGTTTGTGAGAAAAAATAGCTGGATAAAATATAAAGGAGTGCAAATATACGAATGGAAAAACACTTTTTATGCCAAATATCCATAATTTTGAATGGTTACAAGAATCTGAAATTTTGGGTAGGAAAAAAACCCCCATGTATAACCTTGACCCTAATGCTGAGCTCAAGTTATTGCACCTGCATGATTTTCCCCAAACAAATCCATCATCTGCCCTGCTGGAGCACATTGCTGCACAATGCCCAGAAGCACAGTGGATTGCCAAGAAGAGTTATTAAAACAAAGGTTCCCAAGTTTTGTTTTTGTTTTTTACTATTATTGGTGGTTTTTTACATTATAGAAGATTTAGGATCTCCCTTCACTCTTGAGCTATGGAGGCCACTGTAAGCCTCTCTGTGGAGAGAGAGAAGGGATAACTGCATGACACTTCCCTTGAGAACCAAAACCATCAATTGCAATAACTGAAAGCCCTGGGAGCATCTACAACTAACAGTGAGGGATCTGCAGTCAGAAAACATGTCATTTTTGTTGTTTCTCTGTATTTATGAATGATTAAGGAAGATCAAGATTTTTTTTTTCACTGATACACTTCTTTCACTCTTGTGCATCTGTTGACTGGAAGACATTCAGTGAATATCAACACTTTTTTGAGCAGCATTAGGTTAAAGATGGAGAATCTAAAGCCACACTGACAGAAAAATTAGGTACCTAATTTTCATACATTCTCCATTAAACCATTATGTGGCTGAGTCTAGAAAGACTAAAAAATTGCAGGGAGTGACCTCAACATGGTACAAGGTTACGAGTGACATACTCCCCTCCCCCAGCACGTTTCAGATTGCAGCATGCTACAGATTTGAAATATGGACCTGGAAATACAAATAAAATACTAAAATTAAAAAATATTGCTCTATCACAAAAGTACAACCCTATGTAAAAATCTTACTGACTTTAGAGACACTGGACAAGTGTACAGAATTCAGTACCTCAGAGTCAGCAAATAATATATCTAGCTTTTAAGTTCTTTTTTTTTAAGTGAAATGTCCCTTTCAATACATTTAAAGTAAAATGTAACTATATCAGAAGCCGCATTTTTGATGACAACCCAGTGGTACTTAAATAAAATAATGATCATCACAGCAAAATGCAACATTTCAGGATGACTTTGGACAACCTGGACTCCAAGTTCACAGACACCAACTTTCAGAACACAACCATAGGGAAAAAGTTTTGGAAAAAGATCCATTTTTCTCACTGGGAAATAGGTTAAAATAATAATCTGTTCCCATTAAGTCAAAGTTTTTTGCTTTTGACTTGAATAGGAACATGATTAAAAGGACTACATAGAAAGAATAGATGAAATCTTGATTAAAAACTGTTTTATTCAAATATCTGCAATAAAAAACCTCAGACTAGAAAATAAACATTCTCACAGCCCAATGATTTCAAAAGAGAATATAAAAAATAAACGTACATAAACCCCGTCACTGTGCTATATAAGTGCCCTGTACAGCACTATAGACAACTAGTGCAACTCCACTATTTTTATAGAAAATTTGTATTTTAAATTAAATTTGCTTTCAAACACTTAGTTCTTTCAGTTATATAATTTAAATTGGTCAAACTTATTACTCATAAAAATATATCTTAAAAGACCTATAAATTATTTAGAGTGCCTTTTTTGATGTTAAGCTTCCTAGTTCAGTCAGAAAACTTACTGAAGTTGTCACATGCTACTATGGTGTCAAATTCTGTCCTAAGATCTGTGCAGGCATATGCCTAAAAAATAGAACTGCTAAGCCTGACAGTTTGAAAACTGGATTGGAAGATAGTACGCTTGCAGCCTCAATTAATTCCCCAGAACAAGTATATTTGATTGTAGATCCCCCTGTGTCAAGTTGTTGGGGTTTTTTTAGAAGAGTTTAAGTCCAGGTACGGAATGATTAGCATGTAATTATCTGAAAAGCCTCAGGTCTTTAGGCAATCTAGTAAGCATGAATTACTGCAAGCCCTTAGCTAAAACAGCTTGTATAAAAGTCTGTGTGCTGCAGATATGTAACCAGTAGGAAATGGTTGTCCGATTGCATGAATTTTACACATCTTCCAGCTTTCTAACTGATCTGAATGCCACGTCTCATGCTCAGAGACATCTTGCATACAAAACTTACGATACACAGAAGAAAAAATTTAGCTCATTCATCTGTATAATTGTACATGTTTGGTAGATTAGCAAACAATTACATTCTTCATTAATTAATCATGCCAGACCATGATATGTTCACCATGGCTATGAACCAGTTCATTCTTATTACAACTACAGTTGGGAATAAATCAGGTCATGCCTTGTTTTGAGTTTCCAGCAGTGGTATGTTTCTTGGAGATAGACCGAGCCTTGTTGCAATTTTCTACAAACCAGTATCAGGACAAAGAGCCATGGGAAAACATATTCTTAACAGTCTGAAAGAAACCTAAGTGCTTTTCCACCATCAGGTGAGACTGACAGATCCCATTTTACCCTTCAATCAAAAAGTATGTAAGTAACACATATTTAGTGGAAACACTCATATGACTAAAAGCATCCATAGGACTATGTGACTGTTGGATTTACCATGCATAAAAAAAAGCTTTGATAACATGTTAATATATTTATTAGTACATATTTTCACATAGAAAATTAAATTTAGATTACCATATAAAAGCTATAAATTCTGTTTATAAAATCAATTTGGTATGGGCACGTTTAAAGTGTGTGGACAGTACTTTGAAACATACTGAAAGATTCACGAGAAAACAAAATGCATACATTTGGGGTTTTTTGTTAGATACCACATGCAAAAGAAAAATCTACCTTTAAATTTTCATAGTACAAAATTAAGATGTAATGCAGAACAGATTTCCTATTGAATACCACTGTAAATGCAAGGAAAAGAAATGGGTAACAGTACATTATAAAAGTAAAAAGGGCACAGTACAACCAACCGCAGATTGATGTTATTTAATACTATTATGATATAGAAAGAAGTAGGTTTACAAACTTACCCTCATCTTTGCACATGCATCCTGTGTTGACTCTGTGCCTCTTAACTCTTTTACCAGCATAGAACCTAAATACTAAAACAAAAATCCATTGAACTTACTTTAACTCAAATTCCAGAACAGACAAACATCTGCAGAAATGCACTAAAAATGCTTTAAAAAGCCTACTTGTAGCAGTCTTAATATATTAATATATTACTTTAGAGTTTCTTTACTCTGCAGTTCTTTGATAAATCATTTAAACCAATGTATTAATCAACCTACAAAACAAGAATGCACAGCAACAAGTGTATTGAATCAGCTCGTGTCTTTTGAAACAATATCTGAAAGTCTCCTAGCTTTAGTCACTCAAACAATGAGGAAGTACTACAGAATCCATCTTAAAAAAAGCCATTTGATTAAAAAACAGAGAATCTGCTTTTTTTTAGCTGCCATGTGCTGATCTCCTATTGTTATGTGTGCAATCACGTGGATGTGAAGGGCAGCAGCAATCTTAACCTCACCATACTCAATCTGTAACTAATTTACGCACAAATAGCAGAGCCCGACGTCAGCAAACAGAAAATAAATCTATACTAAGACTAGCTTAGACCATTATTTCTTCCTAAGGAAAGGCTGACCCTGAACTATTATTTTAAAGCCTTTACTGATCTGGAGGAGGGCTGGGTGAGAGGAAGCAGAAGGGTGCTGTGTCCTGGCTCAGCTCACTGAAAGCCTCCATGCCCTCAGAGCAGCCTGCTCCTCTCCGAGGGCAGTGAGTGCCTCACCAAAACAGGTCCCTTCCTACAGGCCTTTCCCTCACTTTTTCACTTGCTGGCGCATGCAGTTTGAGTCCTCCTGCACCCTGGCAGCAGGCTCTGCTCCTCTGGATTTGTTCCTCTGGGGTCTCAGTACTCCTCTATGCCACGTTTGGATGGTGCAAACGGGATGTTTCTGTGTTTCTGTATGATGTCACATGCAAGTCGGGTTTAACTGAGGAGAGAGGACAGCAAGTCACCCCTCACCTGCTCCTCCCCAGGCACAGAGACGTCTCTCTCTGTATCCTCACTGCAGCACAAGGCCATGGCTTCTCCCAAGTCTCCAGTCCTAAGTGAGGCAACACAGGAGCTGAAGAGAAGCCACTGTAGGCAGGAGCCTTTTCCCAGAGGATGCTGCAGACCATCATCACTGCCTGACCTTTTTCATTCTACCACACTGACTCCCCTTGGAAACAGCCTAAACTGACCCAACCAGTTAGTGAACCAGCTTCAGCTTAGACAAGAACCTATCAAAAAGAACTTCAGTTACAGCTGAACTCAAGCTGGAACTGAACAGAGAATGTACTGGTTCAATTCTCCGGTCTCCTGACCTAAACTGAGATATTTTCTTTAAAGCCTTCACTTCACACTGTGTACTGCAGGAGTCTCTGACCTGCAAGAAAATGCATAAATATTTCAATGTAGACAGTAGCCAACATGTCAATTAGTGAGAAACACTTTATAGGGCATTATAGATGGAACAGTGAGCAACACCAACACTACCAGACAAGCACATACAGAAAGGAATGAATGAAGGGCATTCTTGGAGGACTGCAGATGTAAAAGATTCATAAACCAAGCAGCTGTGAGTCCAGCTGGGGGCTCGATGGTGACGTGAATAGGGCTTTGGGCATTAATTCGGTGGGACAGCTTGATATTGCCCTTGAAGAAAAACAATAAATGTAAAGCAAACTCAAAAATTAGAAAATTAAAAATGTATTGAGTTGAACTGTATTCTTTTCTGGATCCTGCTGTCTGACACTTTTGGCATCCTGTGCAGGTTGCAATTAATTTCTTCAATATTTTTAAATTTTCTTATTTTTTTATGGACCACAGTACAACAAATTATTTTTTCCTTGAAAGATACCAGTTTGTCAGGCACCAGGGTAAAAAAATCAGTGCTTTGAGCCCACGACAGAACAAGAGGAAGAAAGAGAAGAGGTGGGCAGCTCCTGTCCCATCTGCACAGCAGCAAAAAGTCTCAGCTGAAGGCATTCAGAAATGCTTCCCAGGAAGGACTGTGGAATAGACAAACAAATCACAGAGGTACCGTCCAATTTAGTTGTCAGAAAAATCTAAAACTCTAGGAGGGAATATTGCTTCCCTTTGACTTGCTGTGCTTTTGGAAATGTTCCTTCTCAAATACTGAGAGCACACGGGAGCACTGCAGAGAACATCCAACAGTTTAACTGAGGGATGTGGCATACAGTGAAAGCTGCACCAGGCCAGGGTTTTACTCTATAAGGCTCAGGTCAATACAGCTCAGCGAGCTGAAACAAAGCAGTGATGCATGGTCCTTTGGAAAGGAAGGTGTTTCCTTAATCACCAGTAACTTAGATATTCATGGTCATTTCAACTTCATTTCTCTAATGATCCATATGCCTTCCAATCTATTACAAGGGTGACATGCTGGATCATGCAATAAGATAAAAGGCACTCACGCTCACTTTATTGAAAACTAGGAAAAATATTTAAAGAACTAGAAGCTTCCTTTTCAATTTGAGGTGAGCAAGGAGGTTTTGAATAGTAGGTGAGCTGGTCTTTGACCTTGACTTGCTGAGGAAGGCAGAGGTTCTAGTTACTGTCCAAGGACAGTCACTACATTCACAGCAATTTCTACCCAATGAAGGTCTGATGGAAGATACAGATGTACTCCAGTGAGACAGCCCTGTAACACCCCTTCTGCCCTTGCTCAGTGAGAGCCAGGCTCTGTCTCACCTGTGTTTAGTCTCTAATTCCTACCTTTCCAGATATGCTTTAAAAGAGGTGCAGCAGCCTCCAACTCTCCCCCAAAATACAGTTGTATTTGATAAACAGAGCATTATCCTAAAAAGCTCTAGAGATCTTAGCCCCTTCAAGTGAAGAGGATCTCAACACCATGTCCTGGAACAGGGGTTAACCCTTAGCTATTATGTTAAAGGCACTGCAACTACTGAGCCCCTTTCCTTTGTACAGTAGGTCAGCCATATTTCATTAGGGCCACCTCCAAAGAGGACACACAGTGGTCTGGCAAGCCCCTTCAGCAACTTTAATAACGCTTTTCAGCAAAGTTGGAGGGGGAAATGTTAGCATTTAAAGAGGTGAGCTGAGGCACCTCTTCAGATCCCCAGAAGTTCCAGTCCTCCTGCCCAGGGAACTCAAGATTTCAGTTTTTAACTAAAAAAAAAATTACTTTCTGTGCTGCAGGAGACCTTTCTCTCCTCCACATGCATTTATAACAGACATAAAACACTAATTGTCTTTAGCTGTAGAAGGAAGCTCTGTTTCTCCAGGGATAGGAAGTGGTCATCAGCTGCAGCTAGAGGCAGGTAAAAATAAACATGCCCTGCCCTGATGGAACTGACTGCTACTGGTACTTCAAGCAGCCAACAGTATGGCAGGGGTCTGAATGTGTTCTTGTCCCAGAGATGGAAAACACTGCTTCAGGATCCTGATCTCCATCTTCCCTATCTCCCTTCCCCAAAACCAAATCTATAAAATTCAGGCAAGGCAACACTTAATTTAACTACTCTGAACACAGCATTGAGGTAGGCGTGAGGATCATCCCATACTATGCTTTATTATTCTTCCATAACTACTAGACAGGGATTTGTGACAGATGAGAAGTAGGGATGTTTGCTCTCACTGTCACTTCTACACTTCACCACTTACTCAGTGTCCATTCTCTAACATTATTGCTACATAGACTGCAATATATCACAAAATTCATAGCAAAAAGTACTGTGCATCCTTGTTTCTCATTTATTACAATTCGAGTTTTTCAGAAAAAGTGCCCTGTCTCACTAAAAGTGACTGAAAAAATATTATAAATGGAAGTAAAACACAACAGCCTATCAAAATCCAAGATTAACATATCTACCCCAAATCAAACCACTAAAATTTATCAACACTTACAAATGCTTTATAATCACATGACTGGAAGATGAGTTTCTCTGGATGATGTTGCCAATATTGTACAGGCGTTGATGCTGTGGCTTCATTTGGAGGTCGCAAGGTAATTGAAGGCTCTCCCCAGTCTCCTGTCTGAAAATCACAGTTGTTCAAGATATTAGAGTATGTGCAGGCAAATTAGCTACAAAATAGACCTCCACTGTTGTGCTCAATTAACAAGAATTTATTTTCTACACATAGAGCCATGTTACTAAAATAAGGGAACACAACTGCTACAATATTTTTCATGATTTAATTTATAATCCAAAATCATCTACTGTAGTGTTTAATGAGGCTTTAATTAAATCTATTTGCTTTGAGAATAAAATCATTAGGCACCGGAAATGTTCCTTAAAATAAGTGTTTACAATACATATATGAGGATGAGAGCACTTGAAAAAAATCATGATATGCACGAAAATGCCTTTCACAAATTCTGCTATGTGTTTTACAAGCTTTTCTGCACAGTTAATAAGTCTTCCATTATCCGGCACATATAACTGATAATTAACTTTCCTAGATGGCTAAATAACTGAGACTTTGCTTTGAAGACTTATTATATGTTCTTCAAAAATATGAGGCATTCTTTAATCTCTTTATGAATATTTACTTTGATCACCACCTCTTGATGCCTCATTGTGGAGATAGTAACATTGCCCTTCCACATTCACGATTCTCACTGATACAGGCGATTGCCTTCCTGAGCTGTCATCTCCTCTCTTTCCTCAAAGCCCTCAGAGAACACAGGTAAGACTGCAGTTTGCTGCCAAATCCCTTTGCAGCACACTCTTCTCCCTTCCAATAGAGCCAATGCAGGCGTCAGTACAGGTATGTCCCCAGCCTGGTAGTGCTGGTCTGGGTCTCACCTGCCATTGTGTGTTTTTAGTCATGGCTTTATTATTATAGGGGCTCCTTCTATCTTGCAAGCCCATGCAAAAAATAATTATTATTCTGAGACTATTTAGCTTTCAACTGTGATCTCTCCTACTTTTCGTTCACATGTGCCCACATCCTCAACACCAGGGATGCTGCCAAAGCATCAGCTCACTTTAACTGAAAATGACCCGTGAATGGACTCCTTCTTCTCTTCCCAACCCCTCTTCCCTCTGCCACCAGTCCCACTTCTATCCTATTCTGTCTTGTCTGGACTACCTCTGAATTGCTCTCTTCTTCCCACTCTGTCTTTTTGCAACCACATTTCTCCTTCCTGATTCTCCTTCTTTCCCTGCTCATTTTCTCTCAAACTGTTTAATGCTTTCCTATATGATTATTTCAATTTGGGTTACACTACTACTTTCTTTACCTGCACTTATCTGCATATTTTCTATCCATGTCATATTGTTAAAATATGTATTGAAGATGGCAAGGAATTATCATCAGTATTTCACACAGAATATGGCTGGAAGCTCAGACTTTTATAGCAAAAAGAAGTTATGCATCAAAAACACACGAAAAAAATCTTACCGAAGACATTCAAAGTCTGGCAAACTATCACATCTTACTAATTAAATCAGGACAGAGTAAACAAAACAAGTACATCATTTTCATGTTATTTTCACAAAATAACAAAATGACACGCATTTGCACAGCTCTGCAATGAAAAGCAATAGATAAATCTAGAAACATCAACATTACCCTGCCAATATGGTAACGTCAAGCAAGTCGAACCTAGTTACTATTGACACCATTAGCACATCTACCAATTACACAGTAGTGTAATTTCTGTCTTGCCCAGTTAAGTTGCCTATATGCCATGGGTATGACTTCAGCCTTAGATTTTGAAAAAAAAGCAGCAGAAGCAATTGCTCCAATTTTTCGCAAGTACAAAAACCTTCTATCATATTTAATCTGAAGTGGGAGGTTGATTTCTTTAAGAAGCAGTTTTCCTTATAAAATAAGGTTTCCATCATATTACAATGGGCAAGGATCTGCATCCTTGTTATTAGTGGAGTCTGTCTTTGACAACAAGAGAAGATGGATTGCACCCATCACAAATCCTCACAGCGTGCTCAGCTGTCTCTTATGAACTGTTCAAGGCCACAGCTAACAGACCACTTGAAATAGTCCTTTTTTTTTTCCCTAATAAAGATACACTCCTGCATGTTCTGTGTAAGGAAGCAGAGCTTGGGAGGTCATCATGGCTAGGCTTCACAAACGAAGATTTGGGAAAGGCTCTATCCACGTTTGTTACAAGTACGCTGGTGGCTAATAAGGCCGATACCAGATAGACGCGTCTGTTTGCAAAAGGCACAGCAGAAAGACTCCTTAGGTGGTATATTCTGCTTGGGAGATAGATCCTATCCATTTAGCAAAAGGCTACTATGATGGAACACGAGTAGATTTAGGACAGAAAAGCTACAAAAGTACATCTTTTGACCAGTGGTCTCTTCACTAAGGAAGCACGGGGATGGCTGTGCCATGTTCTACTGAACAAGTGACCGGGGGTAGTGCTCCAAACCCTCCTGTTGCACTGCTCAGCAGGTGGCTTCCCTACATGCAGAAAAGGGATGGTATGGACAAATTAAGCAGGGAGTAAGGAGTAAGTAAGGAATAAAATGAGTACATAATTCTACAGTTTGTCTCCCTTTTGCACAGATAGTGTGAAAAGCATGGAGAAATGCATTTCTTCTGTCTGTAAATAAAAGGGCAGCAAAAGAGGAACAGTGATAACCTCTTGTTTTGGTTCAATTTTATAAAGGAAAAAATAATCACGAGGAAATGAGAAATAATCTTCAACTAGGCTAATAAAACTAGTGTATGAGACACTTGGAGAGGGACTGTGTGGAGACCACTTGTTTGTATCCATTAATTGCTCTATAATCATCCTAGTACCCACTCCTTTTAAATTAGACAAAACCGAATTGCCAAGATTTCCATACTTTTCTCTGTTCTAAACAGGCAATAGAGCTGAGGTTAGAGGAATGCAGGGATACAGGATTTCTGCTGTTCCCGACAGACCACTGCACCTGGAGAGCTTTCATGTATTTCAGCATGTCTTGTAGAGGGAGCAGCTACTAAGAAAAGTTGCATAAAATTAAACATCATAGGTATAGATTTTTTTTTTCAGGGAAGAAAAGCTTTTAAACAAGATTGAGATAGCTGAATACATTAAAAAAACTATGTCTAAAAACCTCAACAGAAAAAATGGGAGCTCCTCAGCTGACTGAGTCTAGTCAGATTCTGAAATTCTGAGATTTAGGATATCATGATGGCAGTTGACTTCAGGCAAAATACAAAACAGGACCATCTTTGACCTAGAGAAGACTTGAAACAACAAGGCTCAAGTCTGGGATAGAAAAATATAAATTACTAGTAGTCCTAACTCCAAGGAATTGATGTGGAACAATTCATGGGTGATGTATTGAGATTCAGGTCCTTCACCTAATACACTTTCAAGCAGTACAGAAATGTTCAGAAATTGCCATGCAAGACCAACTATAATGTTTGATTTAAATTTTAAACCTAGATATGCTAGGATAAGGATTTTCTGGTTTGAATATTTAATTTGCAATTATAAGAAATAATCAAACATTTAAGCTTATGTATTTTTTATCACACAATATATAGATGGAGATTTTTATCTCTCTGATGAAGTAGAAAGGCAAGAGATAATTTATTCCTCATCTAACTTTACAGCTCATCAGACAGCTGTGCAATTTATCACATGGTTTTTGCTGTATTCCTTGTGTTTTAGTATTCTAATGTCCCCTTGCCTTTAACCAGCACCTTTCCTCTCTTTGGCCTCTCCCAACTTGAAAAAGAATATTTTTTGCTCCACATTTGCAGATAAAGAATTTATAATCAGAAAATGGTCTCAAGTCAGGTGCCAGAGTGGTAAGGATTCAATCCTTTTACAGGGACAACCTTAAAGACCAATATCTTGTGCTCTTGCAGTGCTTTCTAACCCTGAAAATCAGCAGATGTGCTTTACAAAGGGTCAGATGCTTGATGTCAAATGAGCTACAGAGGCAGATCACAACTATTAAATATTTTTAGTTTTTTACAGTCGTTGCACATTTTCCTATCTCATCCCATTTTCTGAGAAGCATATTTGACTCATATTGAAGGCACCTGGATGCAGAGGTAGTCACAGATAAGAAGTAACCTCAGTACAATTTTATAAAAATCTAACACCTCCCTCGTCTTTTTATAAAAATGTCAAGTTAAAACCCCTCCATGCTTCAAGGAAGAAAAAACCAAAAAAGCCTGAGTTTGAGTGGTTTGAATGTAGTTATTTTTAACAAGAACCATATCTTATAACTTTTCACCTGTTTTTTTCATGCCTGGTTATGGTAACATGCATTAGTCACCATGACAACAACAAATTGGAGCACGCATGGATACAACACTTCTGGCTGAAAAATTAATAATTTTCTCCCTGTAAAAATTTTAAATGCTCTGCAGACCAGTCAAATCCTCATTGTTTCCTTATGTTTTAATTCCTAGACCGGGAGGAATTTTTTAAGCTCTTTATATTTTTGGCTCTTGAAATAATGGGAACAGGTTTATGGTGTACGTAGATTTTAAAAACTTCTAAAGCTTGGTAGCCAAAACGTTCCCTCTTTGGCAGAAATGTTCCAAGGAGGCATGGCAAAAATCAGGAGAAATCTACAGCTCCTCTGAAATACTCTGCTGAACAACAGGCTGTCATCCTTACCACACTGCAATATGGATCACCAGGATCACATGCACAGCCTTTGTGACTGTCACAGAAGCGATAAAAACTCAGGGCACCATCAGCATTACCTCTAATTCCCCCAAAGGTGACTCTGTAAACACAGCGTGTACCTCAGCTGGGCAAAGCCTACGGGCTGACACAGAAAGGGCAGCACAACACACCGTGGGGGTGAAACTGTGCAAACCGAGCTGTTTACACGGTTTCCCGCTTTGGAAAAGTGAGTGAACGAAAACATCAGGAACAGAAGTCAAAGCTCCCCCTGAGCGAGACTGCTGCTGGCAATGCCCCCACGTCCTGTATGTATGTACACCATACAGCCAACATACGCTAACCACATGGCACGACACACGGATGTGCGCACACATAATCCCCAAGGAGGGCAGACAAGTTACGAACTTTTGTTACCATTTCAGCGACATGACACCCGTAGATAACACCAAGGCAACAGACTGTACATCCAAAGAATGACAACATAGCCATTTATTACTGTATCTTACATTATGAACCTGATGAATCGATGAGAAAGGATATCCTGCATTCTGGTTGGTCCAGATCTCACAGACCGAAGACTGCTAATATAAACAGAAAACTGTATCTCATCTTGTAAATATTAATGCACTGCAACTGCCAAAAGGCAAGAATAATTAAGAAAAGGCTTGCAATAATATTAAAGAAGGAAGTAAAATAGCTGTTAAATGTAATTTTATTTATTTGCTGACAAAATATTTTTGGACTGGCTGGAAAGACGCATAGCTTATTCAGAGACTCTAGAAGAGGTTTCCGACTGTGAGTACAAGAAAACAATTTAGTCAGAAATGCTTGTGAGATAAAGTTATGCAGGCATTAACAGAAAACACAGAGAGCAGAAGAAATACTGGTTACTTTCAGGTTTTGGCAGGGAAGAAGTCTGAAGTCAACATCCTGATTAAGTTTTGAGACTTAAATCTCTCTCTGTTGGAGACTTTCACAGGTAGAGGAAGAGAAAAATCTGGCAAGACAATCAACAGAAAAAATATGTTTTCTCTGTAACAATTACCAGAAAAGAATGCATTGCAATCAAGTGAAGCAGCTGCCCACCATCTCCTTCCAACAACGAGTCCTTTGCATTCAAAGATACAGATAATATTACCTTTGGTATTGACCATGACCCCAAAGCATAAATGAAAGGTTTCAGTCTACCTTCTACATTATTGTACAGAGTCTGTAATAGCAAAGCAAAGTCAGCATACTGTAGCATCTCTAGCAAAAGCAACAGGCAAGCATGGCATTCAACCAGCATCTTTTATATATTTCCTTGTTTGGACACTCATCAAGAAAGCATCTGTGGCACCTCAGCAAACGCTAAGATAACATTTTACAGTAGCCAGGCAACTAAAACAAAGCATCAGACGTAGAATCTGCCCACGCTATCTTCAGCAGGCAGCAACAAAAAGCAATCAACAGACATGAAAAATGCAACTGCAGTATCCAGAATAGATAGCAATTAATATATAAGTAATTTAACAACAGCGGGAATGTGCATTGCTGGTTCTTGTCAGCAGTGGCAGCAGGAATCTAGCACCAATGCTCAAAACAACCCAAAAAAGTGCAACTCTTCTTAAAACATGGCTCTTGCTCTTACCTTTTGTAGCTGGCAACCTGGCTGCCTGGCTGGTGACAGACTAGGTTATCACTTCTGGTTACCGCCAGGGAAGCCTGGCATCCTCCGGACTGACTACAAAGCACTGCCAGACAGACTGGTGGCTGCCTAATGTTGTTAATAGTCCCTTATTTCCTTCATGATCTGAAATGCATGAGCACAAATCCCTTCCTCCAGCTTTAGTAATTCTTAAACTTTCATGTATCTGGTTAATTTCACCTCCCTCATCTTGCTTTTGAAGTTATTTGCTTCTCCTTTGTGAGGTGCAGGGCTCTACATTTTGATAGCATTAGATAATAAAAACTTTGATTTTTGCTCAGTCTTTTTCCCCATCTTCTGCAACTTGCTACAAAACAGTCCTCCACCACGTGATGAACAAATAGTCTCAGTGCAAGGTCACCAGCAAACACTGCTGCAGCTACTTCTGCTGTGCCATCATTAGAACAGTGCACTAGTTGGTACTAATGACATTTTTTTGTGTATGTCAAGCAAACTGACTTCTGGATGCTCTGGCCATGCTCATTGCTGGGATGCCTACCTTTGTTTGCCTAGGGACGAGAAGATTCCTGAATAGGAATCCATGGCAGAAGCTTGTGCCTCCACTTTTCAAGAGAAGAGTAAACAGAAGGCATTTCCATGCCAGATGAAGCATACTCAAGCATCTGGTAATCAAGAAGACTTATTGCAGTGCTATCTGGACACACTCACTGAGGTCCTGAAAGCAGCAAGGTAAGGCAGCAGGGTACTGTATGTTGGCAGATGTTTTATTTCTTCCCAGCACTGGCATGGAGTTGCCATGATGCCATCACATTGTGCAGCTGCTTCTCACCATCTTGATATTCCTAAGACAAAAGTGTGTCCTTAAATCCTGCCCCTCTCAAGGCCTTGCCTTTAAGGATTGGTGTGGGGCCTCAGCCAGATCAGCCGTGAGCTGGAGCAGCAGTGGCGTGCGGGGGTCTCCCAGCAGAGCTGCCATAGCAGTCCTGCCGTGCTGCGGCACCTAAAGCCATAAATACATCGGGTACATCTGTCGGCTGCTTGGGTGCTAACTCAGGGACAGGTAACACAACACCGTAGTAAATGTGAGCACAGCCTTTAAGTTGCCCCATTTAAAAAGAGGGCAGACAATAAATTTTTTTTACACGTGCCAGTAGTACCCATCCTGCCTCTCCCTCCCCAGCTCATCTTCTCCTAGATGAAGACACAGAGGTTAGGGCACTTTCCCCAGGAACTGGGAACTCTTGATTTCATGCCCTTCTCCGGCTGAGGGGACTCACACCTATGTATTTCACCTTTCTCTTTCACAGGTTAAAACAGCTGCAGAAGGCAGGCTGTCTCCAACCCCTTTTATAAACGGCAGGAAGTCCTTCTAATTAATTCTTTAGGGAAAGAAGAGTGCCCAAGATGTTTGGAAGCACTCACATATGAGAGGCAAGTTTTGGGTCCAGGTCTCTGCTTCAAGAACTGTGCAAATGAACTACCCCCATCAGACAGACCTACCCCCAGAATTAAAGGTTTTGAGGATCTAGGCTTAAGCTAAATCATCTTTAAATACCGGTGACTTGATTTATTAAATCAACAATAAATCGAACAGACCAGCAGAAACAGAATTTCCCACAAGTGTATGAATGCCCAGTCTGAAGGGCAGCAGTGCAAAACTCATGACTCTGTTTTGCACTCATTATTGTTTGAATGACTGAGGTACTGTAATGCAGTACAGAAGGAACATTAATTTTATGGATGGTAACAAATTTAAATTCAGAAATCAACCTTTTCCTTGCACCATTGTAAAAATATTTAGCATTTACTACATACATATTTTATATCTTCAAAGTGCTTAAAATTTTTAATGAATTATGAAATCCCCAGGTGAAGTACTCAAAGTTACATATCCCTGTGCTGAAGAAGAAAGAACCAAGGAAAGGAAAAAGGTTAAGTGAGTATCTGAGGCCAGAAACTCGGTAGTAGGAGGAATAATGGAGATTAGGCTTCAAACACTCACAATTTTCAGCTCCCAAAACATATGCTCTCAAAAAACAGGTAAAAAATTCAATCTGTGCATACACTTCTACCACAACAAACACAAATACTCTTGGGCACCTAATACCACTGACACAAAGGTTATGTGAAAAAGAGTTTAGCAAAGAATATTTTCCTAAGTAATATGGTAAAGATGAGCAAAGAAATAGCATCTGCTATTGTCTCATTAGTATCGAACTTGCCATTATCTTAATACTTCTCAAAAGATAAATGCTTACAAGTAACATCACAACAAGACTGCCATCATACCATTTTTGTGGTGTCCCATGCATAAGAGATTTCCCCATCTGGTCATGGCGGGGCATGACTCTGACAGGTAGGATGGGCAAAGGAAGGGAGAAAGTCTCACAAAGTGAATAGTTATCCAAGGAGAACTTTAGGCTTCCTCCCCATAGACGAGGAAAACTTGGTTGGTAATCTCAAGAAACAAAGAAACCATAAGATTGTTCATAGAAATTATATGCTTTCTAAGGAGAGGAGGAACAGGAGCTGCGTGGAAGGAGTCCAGAAGTATTCATTACAGCTCAGTGAATTTCACTCGATGGCACTTTAGGAGATGTCAAGGATTTACCTAAATTAGGAGCAATTATCCTTGAAAGTCATAGAAAATACTGAAAGGACCAAAGAAGGGCTAAAAGAATATTTAAGATGTGTTAGAAGGAAGACTCAGAAACTTATACGCAGCCCAACTGCAGGGACCAGCAAGTGACTAGAAACTGTTTCAAAATTCAGCCACCATCCCCCAATTCTCATGACCTTCTGCCATTACTCCTGGCCATCTGAAATAAACACTCAGAAATATATGTATGCATGCACGTATATTTACATCTATGCATCCATTATCGAGAATAACAAAGAAAAAGTGTAATATTGCCTGCCATGTGTTACCAAGACAGCTTCTATGAGCCAAGAAAAATTCAAGATGTTTATAGTGAGGTTCCTCAGTATGAATCATCTCAGATGAAATTTTCTTCTTTGTTGGAAAACTAGCCAGTTAAATCAGCGGCATCAAGGAGAAGTACTACAAGACTTGGATACTGATGCAACAACATATCAACAACTCCCATACACAAACTTAGCCTGAATCAAATGCAGTGGTTGCACAAGAAGTTGAAATTCACCTTTTGAGAATAAATATCGGTATTTAAGTTGGTATTTAAGGAGTGCCAAGGCTAAGGAGGATCCAGAAGTGAGGGACTTTTCAGAATGTGGTAAAAACTGAAAATGGATCTAATGAGCTACAGAAAGTCAGATAAAATTACGTAGGATTACATACAGATATAAAATAGCAAACAAATTAGCAGAGTGATTTAGGTTGCAACAGGACAAAAAAGATCTGAAAGTTTCAGTATACCTCAAATTAGATAAGGTCAGTCTTTAAAAAGAAAAAGGAAATAAATCACAAGATAATTCATGCTGTAAGGGAGCTCCATTCCAACTCCAGCTCAAGGCAGGAGCAGCTGTGAGATGGGACCAGATTGCTCGGGGTTTCATCCAGTCAAGTCTTGAAAACCATCGAGGACAGAGACTGGGCAGACTCTGTGAGCAACTTGTTCCCCTGCTTGCCTGTCTGCATTGGGAGGAAATTTCTCTTGGCATCCAGTCAGCGTCTCTCCACTTTCAGTTTTAGTACCCAAAGCCACCTCTTCTCCAGCCAGCCCTGGTTGTCCAGCCTCTCCTGGGAGGGCAACTGCTTCAGCTCCCGACCATCTTGGTGGCCCTTTGCTGAATTTCCCTCTCCTAAATAAAAAAACCCAGGTATTTAATAAAAGTAGCCATATGGGGCAGCCACCAGTGAGGTCTCACATGAGGTGGCATCCAGTTTTAGCCACTGCAGTGTAAGGAGGGAGTCCAGGAGAGAGTGACAAAAACAAACAGAAGTCTAGAAAACAC